CTATCACTTTCGTATAATAAATTTCTATCGAAAAGTGATATTCATTTATGTAACAATACATCCGTATTAAAAAATTGCCTAATTGTTTTTATTATGGGTCTACATATATGTTTGATTTAATTAGTTGACCGACCACCCCACCAGATACGTACTCAATTATTGACCGCGTAGCAGCCAATAACTGAAAATTAACCATCAAAAATTTTTACGTACGTACCAAAAATAACGGAAAAGATTTGTTAGATGCTTTTGGTCGTGATAGCGCAGACTAGCAGACGTAGTAGACTGAAAGGACAAAAATATGCGATAATATTATAAATTCATTATACGTATACGTAGCAAAAATTGAATCTGTTATTTGGATCTCAATTCTCAATATTTCAATATCTTTACTAAGATTTACGTATATCAGATACAGAGTCGACATAAATATTGAATACGTATTTCGAAATTTTCTTAAAAATTGGTCTTTACTAATTAATCGGCTACGATCACTAAATATTCGGATTGAACAACTTTTTTGACCCGATCTCTCCATAAATTATAAAATATCTTGATTACAGTCAGGGAATATACCGAATTACAGATTAACTTGCTTAATCTAATCTAAAGATTGATAAAAAAATTTTTGTTTAGTGTTAGATGTTTAGATCTAGTGTGACGAAGCATTTTATCAGTTATATAACGACAATTTGGCTTCCATCAACGACGATGGATTCAATTACTGAATTGAACACTTTTTTACACTAAATTAATGTTTCGATCATTCGTTGTAATAGCTGGTAGAAGTAGGTGTGGATGTAGAATCGGTAGTAATATAATTAATGTGAGTATCAAATTTTGGCAATTTCAAGATTTATGTTCTTTATTAATTTTTATTTGTTTTGATAGTTGCGTACATATAGTACTACAACTCAACTTTTGACTCGAACCAAAACCATGACTGAACAGAAGGTATAGTAAAACTTCTAATGCATCGCCATATATTGCATGTTCTATGCGTACCTTCTTTAAGTGCTCTCTTTAGTCAAGTCTTTAGCTTACAAATACCAGAAAATGTATGCTCTAAAATTTTAAAATTGGCATTTAGAGACTGTATGTTGCATAGATAAAATATGCGAATTGCAAATTTTTTTAAAACTCGAATATCATATTAATATTATTTAAAATAATTAGGTTACGCATGCCGACTCAGAAACTGCACCAATAACAACTCAACTACTCGCTAAACAAGCTAAATACACCATTAACACATATGTTCGTCCACCAATTATTCTTTCGCATGGTAAAGGTTGTCATGTTTATGATTTAGCAAATAGAGATTATCTTGATTTCTCAGCTGGCATAGCAGTAAATGCTTTGGGTCATTCCGACCCTGAGGTGGCACGAGTAGTTCATGACCAAGCGTTAAAGCTTGTTCATTTGAGTAATTTATATAATAATGAATATGCAGGAGAACTTGCAGAGTTATTGGTTGAATCAACACGTAGTGGAGGTGGATTCGAAGCTTCAAAAATTTTTTTCACAAATTCTGGTACTGAAGCGAACGAAGGTGCTTTGAAATTTGCAAGAAAATGGGGGAAATATGTTGGTAAAAAAAATAATGAAGAATTGAACATGAATAAGTATGGTGTTGTATCATTTTCAAATGCTTTTCATGGCAGATCTTTTGGATCGTTGTCAGCCACACCTTCCCCTAAATATCAAAGCCCATTCACGCCAATGGTACCAGGATTTGTAACAATACCATATAATGATATTAGTAAGATTAATGAGCACGTGAACGAAGGTACTTGTGCTGTAATTGTTGAACCTCTTCAAGGCGAAGGTGGAGTTTGGGAGGCCACCGTTCCATTTATTGAGGCTTTGAGAAAACGATGTGATGAAGTTGAAGCTTTGCTGATCTTTGACGAAATTCAGGTAAGCGATCATAAGTTTGTTTTAACAAATAAACTTTTAGTTGCAGAATATTTTCAAACATTTTTTATCTAAATTTATCAAGTGTGGTCTTGGTCGTACTGGAAAATTATGGGCGCATCAAAATTATCCAAAGTCTTGTCACCCAGATATTTTAACATTGGCTAAACCATTAGCTAATGGAATTCCGATTGGTGCTATTATGACTACACAACGTGTTGCTGATATAATTACGATCGGTAACAATTCTTTTTTTTGTGATCAATAATGTTACCGTATTCCTCCAGCCAAAATTCTCGTGATCTAGTGATTGGATTTATATAATTTTGGTACCATTCGAATCATTTTGACAAGTCGATTCGAATGGTACCAAAATTATGCAGATCCATTCATTAGATCACGAGAATTTTGGCTATAAAAATTGCTCCGAGGGGGTGCTTATTTTCGGAGGAATACGGTAATTATTTTATCATTTAATAATCAGTTAATAACTTGTCCATTTTTTAGGTGATCACGGTACAACTTTTGGTGGTAATCCCTTAGCGTGTCGAGCAGCTCTTTCAGTAGTCTCACGCATAAATACTCCCGAATTGTTAACAAATGTTAATAATGTTGGTTCCTATTTAAAATCATCATTTGAAAAACTAGTAACTAAATATCCATCGCTTATAACAACTGTGCGTGGACGAGGGCTTATACTTGGAATACAATTTACTAAAGATCCAAGTAAAATGGTTCAATTGGCTAGAGAACGAGGCTTATTAATAATTACTGCTGGAAATAATACTGTTAGAATTATACCTCCGTTGATATTGACGAAAGGAGAGGCTGAAAAGGGTGTAACAATTTTGGAAGAATGTGTGAAAATTTTTAATGAAGAAAGTAATTAAAATAATGTGATTATCCTTATTATTCTTTATTTTGGATTTATTTTTATAAAGTTATGAACATTAGGTTTTTATTTAGAATAATTTTAAATAGAATCTTTTTTTTATAGAAATAAGGTTTTAAACTTTAACGTAACAAATTAATAAATTTAAATTCCTATTCTAGTAAGACTAATGTTATGTAATTCGAAATATATTGCAAATCTTTCCAAATTAAGTAACAGCATAAACGTCTACTTTTGTAAACATTTTCCTTTTTTTTTTTTTAGAAAAAAAAAAAAGAAAAAAAAAAAACCAGCCATTTTTATTAATACAAGTATGATACAGCAAAACCAAGACCAAAACTTTTAAAAAGTGATCTCTATGACACTGTTTAATAGGTTTTTTTTTTGTTGACTTAAATATAAAACATAAAAAAAGAAGGAAAAAACGCATATACCAAACGAATAACAAGAAGTTGAAAAGAAATATTGAATAAAATGTTATGAACATCTTTTAACAACAATATCTACAGCTTTTTTTTTTTTTTTTTTTTGTTATAAACACTTTGTAAGAAGCTATTTTCTTCAAATACCAAAAAATTGGTTAACCAAGATGAGATTGTAGTTGGTAATCGGCCATTGCCTATAAAAGTAATATAAGAAATAGTTCACAATAAAATAAGAATAAAATAAAATAAGAATTTTTATAACAAAAAATTACAATCAGCAATCAACGAAAACACTTACAACCGAGTTCAAATTTAATTGATCAGATGAATCCATGTGCGCAATAGTAATATAAAAGGATTTTTCTAACTTGTAGACGGTGTCACCGTGATAATAATTAGCAATAGCAGTTATTTCACAATTTTCAGCATCTATTCCTGGAGTACCAGTGAGGACATTATTCTCCCATCTAAGCCAATCTGGTAACCACGGAGAATGAAACACTGCCTTAATTGCTATAAAATTATAAATAGAGCATTAAAAACATAGTCGTAATTAGATTTAAATTAAATTAAATTATGAAATATATATATATGTATAGTAACAGAATTCTTACATTTAACATTTACTTGTGGATCCCAAACTCTAGGCGCATAAGTATACTTTACACCAACATAAGCAATTTTATCCGGAATTCCGGCAATTTTACGAGTAAATTCGCGGAATATCCAACCACCACTTGGTGTTTTTTTTGCTTCAATATTCCATACGTGATTACCCTTAGATTTAGCTTTTTTACCATCTTCATTAAATCGAGAAATGTATCTGTAAAAGTAAAAAGATTAAATAAAATATATACATATATATATACAAATTTCAAAATAAAACTATACCTTTGTGTCCATAAATAATTTTTAACTTTTCTTAAGGGTAAAATTTCCTCGGTATAACCATGACGAAGTAATTCTTCGTGAAAAGCATTAGTAAAAGCTTGTATTCGGAATTTGAAAGGACGAAAATCGGGGGACTCATCCAATTTTTGCATTTTCTTAGCCATCAGGGTTTGATGACTATGAAAATAATATATTTAGAAACATATCATCAAGATAAAATTAATTAAAATTAAATCAAAACGGTACAAGTAAGTTATACACACATTTGTTCACCTTTAGAATCGGTCGCATTCACTATATAATAATATATATATATATATTAATAATAATATCAATCGCATGACACAAATAATGAATTAATTAAAAATATTTACGATCTGAACAAATTGATTGTAAGAAATTGATAAAAATGTCATCAAGATGTTTCAAAAGTACAGGATCCAATGGAGCATGTGTATGAGTACGAGGAGCATTAGGAAGTACACCAGCAGGTGCATAAACTGGTGGAGGAGGCTAAACAGAATAAAATAAACAATAAAATAAATGAATAAATGAAAATAATTATTATTGATATTATTGATATTATCAATTTAAAAATTACAAATGAAACAGGAAATACCTGATTTGTATAGGGATCATTTGTGACATTTGTGACATTTGGTACATTTGGTACAGTTGGTAGTTCGCGAACATTCACAGAATATACTTCGCTAGTAATTGTAGGTGTATCCTCCACATTAGTTTTGATAGCTTTTTTTGGTTTTTCATATTTTCCTTGAATGGTACGCTAGAACATATAACAAATAAATAAAAATAAATTTTTTAATAACATAAATTTTAACCAATCACTTTAACCACCATAAACTCAATGAATACCTTAACAGACTTAACGGTATTAGGTAGCAACGGTTCCACAGCCACAGGGGCAGCGGCCGGTTGTGGTTGTGGAGTAGTAATTGATGGTGTAAGTTGCTTTAATGAAAAAAATATGTATAATTAAAATAATCTAAAAGAAAAAATTTATAACGAAATCATCGAAATATCTACCCTAATGTTCTAATGAAAAATAAAATTTTTTAAATCCTTATTCCCTATTACATAAATAGAAAAAAAAAAGAATGATGACACAAACCAGCTCGGCATATTTAGATTTAAAGTCTTTTAAAAGGTTTATTGTTTTTGATATTTCTTCAAGACGATTAAAAGCTTCACTTTCAAACCCATGCTCAAATTGATCTTTAGCTTCTTGAGCATTCAAAAAGATACTGAATCAATCAAGAACATAAGACAATTTTTGAGTAAAATTTACTAAGAAAAAGGTATAGTATCAAAGTATATGTATAGTGCAAGAATGTCAAAACTCATTCAACAAGACTCCGGATATACAGGACACATCTTTGCAGAATAAACCTTCAACCATTGACGCAAAGTATAAAAGGGAAGCCATACCTTTCAAAAAGTTGGGTCAAATTCATTTTTAATATGTTTGTCAGTAGTGGGGTGGTTTCTTTGGGGTGGGGACAGTGAGGGACGCTTTAAAAAAGAAGGCCTCTCGAAAGAGGGGCTTGAGAAAAAGATGATTTTGGAAACCAAATTAGCCATCGATTTTATTTGAATTTAATAATTGTAATAAGTCATGTGAAATGCAGAAATGATGCAACATCACCTGACATGAAAGTCATATTACCATCCTGGTCAATCTCATTTGTTAGAGATTCTAAATATAAATTTAAGATTTGCACCACAAGATTTAGGGAATTTGGGCTTGGCACATTCATCTATTTATAGTAATTCTTCGTAATTCTGGGGTAATTAATCTAGTTTAAATTTGGGGGAAATCATTTTTCTTGTCTTCTTTATTAATCAATTGTAAAAAAAAAAAAAAAAAAAAATAAGGGTATTGCTTTTTTAACAGTTAAATGCGTTGAAAGACTTACAACAGTTTCGCTCGCATTTAGCATAGAAGTAATATTTTCGTTTTACGTATGCACGATTCCCTCCTTTTTTGATATGCATATACCAAATAATAACATTGGCATTTTTTTTTGTTTTTTAGACATATATATATATATGTGTCAAAATGAACGTATATCAATATATATCTGTATATCTGATATACATACAAAAGACAAAGTTAACTGTTAACGGTATTTCTATGCTAAATTACGTTTGTGTGACCACTTATTTTCATTGTTTGCATAATACAGTAATATGGCTATAAGCACGCACATACGTACGCAACAATAACGATAACATAATAACATAATTTTGAAACAAAGATGGTTACCTATTATGTTTCAAAAAACAAAAATAGAACTCAGCTTCATTGATCCTTTTTTACATATATATATACCTATCATTCCATCTAAAAAAAAAAATCGCGCAACATCTTTTATCACTATACTTATATATCTGGAAGTTATCCGTCATATATCATACAGTACAATAAAAATGAACAGTATTCGAAAACTAAATAGTTTTATTCGTGCCAAAAAATATAAACGGAAGATTCGAACTTGTGTTTATATTTATACACCACTACCTAATAACAAATTTGGATACATAATAGAATATAGACGACCTGAGTTTAGCGAAATATTCTATTATAAATATAAAAAAAATGCAGATGATACTTTAACAAAGTACGGATACTTGATTTCTGAACCTGGGATAGGTTTTGGTCACAATGATAGTAATCGTACGAAAAATCAAGAAAATAAAGGAGGACTTTGGACAAATAAAGATAAAGATTGCATATTTTATCAAACCGTTGCTGATAAAACACAAATTGAACTCGAAAACCGTTGGATGAGCGAAATAAGAAAAAAAGGTCGTTTGGAAATCTATCAAAATGACGATGAAAATAATCACAATGAATGGGTTGATGTAATGCAACATAATAATAAAATTTATATTTGTGATAACATACAACGTCGAAGAGTTGCTGAAGTTTTAGAAAAATATGATAATGATTATTATAATAATTATGAAAATAATTATGTTAATAATTATGTTAATAATTATGTTAATAATTATGATAATAATTATGTTAATAATTATGATAATAATCATATTAATGACAGTCTATCGACTTCTCAAGATTTTGTCAAGGATCAGGAAACTGTAGGCAATATTGAAGATCATCGTCGATTGAGAAATGATCCTCCTCCTCGACCTACGTGTATGACTGCACCTTCAGATAATGAACCATCTTCTGATACTACTAGTGAATTTTCAGCTCCAATTACTCCAACAACTCCCCCATCCTCTCCAAGTGAAATGTACTCATCTGTGAAACCAAATGGTTTATTGAATATGAATATAAGACAACGCCATCAAAGAACAGCGTCCAAAGATAGTACAAAAAACATTTCTTTAAAAAATAGTCAACCTACTAATGTTATTAAACCTCAAAAAGTTGTTCATTTATCACATCCTAAGTTCAGTAGAAAACCTCCTCTCGTACATATCTTTGATCCGGATGATTCTTTGATTTATAAAAATTGTAAATGTGAACATTGTATTATTGGTCAATATAATGAGTAACTATTCCTTTACAAAAAAATATGGTTTTTTTTTTTTAAATTATACAAAATCCCTTTGTGGCACAATTTTATATTTTCCGCAAACTGTAAATAATAAAAAGATATTGAGTATCTTGTCATGTTATCCAACATGTTATATCATTATAGTATATACTGTAATAAAAAATAAAAAAATTATTTGTTTTATAAACATAAATACAAAATTTTATAAAGAAAATCCTACAATTAGAAATTTTTCAAATTGTCCAATTATTAATTTTTTTTTTTTCCTTTTTTAAAAAAAAAAAAAAAATATTACAATCATCTATCATAAATCTCTCAATCTATCAAATTCAATAATCTCCCATAAAATCTTTACAAGCTTCGTATGTTACAAAACTTACACTAATGGCTGGAGCCACTTTTAAATAATTTGGTACCATCCCTTTATATAATCCCCGGATCCCTTCGTCTTTCAACAATTTCATTAGCGCATCCCATGTATTCTTATATTTATAATTTACCTCTTTCATCCCTGTTACTTGCATTCTTCTCCTTAATACATCTAGTGGATACGTTATTGTCTGTGCAAATGATCCTGCTAACGCTCCACATAAAAGTTTTTGTGCTACCGGTGGTGATGTTCGATCAACTGGTGTAAAATATTTACGCAGTACTTCATATGAATGGAAATTTAGTGCTACATACGGTGCTACTCCCTATAAAGTTAAATAATTTTATATTAGTATAAATCTTTCGTCATAATCAAATATTTTTTTTTAATTTAATATTAATCTTTTATATTTATTACCAACATGGTTGGTCCCAAGCCACGATATAATGCCATAATACCGCCCTCCGAAACATAAATTATCCTCATTGTTGACGCGATACCTGGTAACTTTTTCTGTCCTTCATTACCTGATAAACTTGCTGATTGAACTGAAAGTCTTGTTCTTACTATATCTAATGGATATGTACATGCGACTGATGTTATACCCGCTAATGCTCCCGCTGTAAGTCGTCGTGGTGCATCTAATTCTTTTTTTCCTTCTTCTAATAAAAGCTTATCAAATCATTCGTTTCATATAAATAATTAATAATAATAATTAATTCTTAAATTTTAATTAATATTTCCTTTTATATATAACAATTTTTCTTATATTTATAAATAATTAATATACTCACTCTTTTATATTTTTCATAAGCTGCAAATTGTGTCGCACTATAAGGAACTATTCTAACAATATTCGTTCCATTCCCCCTTAAAAATCCAATTACCCCTTCATCACGCCACATTTTCGCTAACGTGGGGCCAATTCCATTGTAAGCTGCGTTTACTCCTTGTATCTATATTACAGTATTATATTTCGGTATTATATTATGATTATGATTATGATTTTTTTTTTTTTATTTCTTATATTTGTTGTAAACTTTATAAATTATTCTGACATACTTGAAATAATATCTTCATTCTTTCTAAAGGGCTTACAACCGTTCTGCTTACGGCCCCTGCAATTCCTCCCTAGATTAACAGATCAAAAAAAAAATAATAATAAAAAAAATAAAAATAAAAATAAAAAATGTTAACTACTTTTTTTTACTAAAATATTCATAAAATACAATTTACTTGTTTCAATTTGAATAAAATCTACCGCGATCAAATGTTTTATTGCTGGTGATATAATAAACGTCCAAGGTCTATGTGCCAAATGAGTTTCCCTTTCCTGAGACTTGAGTGAGGCTGAACTGCTTTCAGACACACTAGATATCCACCCTGTGAACCTTGAATCCGATGCTTGGTCGACGCTACCATCTTTTTCATTATTATAAATACTAGTATGTTTACTATTACTATTAATATCATTCGAATGTATGAACATTGTGAAGTAATTTTGTAAATGAATGAGCGAGATAAGTAAATTGTTGATCATGTGACTAGGCCTATTTTTATTGGTTTGAATACAATCATGTGAAGTTACATGATACATATCAGTAAAAGTCTTGTATATTACGATAATATAGATCTATCTTTAATAGCATATCTAAGTTTATGAGAGAGAAGGATCGATGGTCTTTTAATTTATGTGCTGTTACTCGATTAAATGTGTATCTTAATCTGTTAAATCACTATCGTGTAACTATATTGCATGAATGTCTCTTATTTTATTGTTACTATAAATAAAATATTACATAATTTTTAACAAATTTATATTTATTTTTAATATTACCTAATCTTAATAAATCTTTAATAAATCAGTGATGACGAAGTCCAAATATTTTAATCATACGTATAAATTATATATATGTCCAAATATTTTTGGCATAATTTTATGCCCAAATACTTTTGGCAAGCAATTTTTATAATATTATACCGTAACACTACGTAGCCTATATGCAATTACAAAATTTATACGTATACGTATGATATTGTACAGTATATTAATCAAAAAAAAGATTTTAATTATATATACTTTATAAATTTAGACTGCAAAAACTAATTCCATTTCCAAATACAGTATATATAATAACATTTTGGTTTAAACAATAGTTTTGCTAGCAAGTATAGTTAGCAACATTTACTACAGTATACAATATATATATAAAAATAGATATAAAGAATAAAAAAAAACTATAATTTTACAGTATATACAGTATATATATATTATAATACATTAGCCATTTTATTAAAAATTTGGTTTGGCTTTTAAATACAGTATTAACACTTTTAAATTATATATTTCAAATTTTTTTTAGCTAATTAAAATCAAATAATCAAAATATAAAGTTAATCATTAAAATAGACAAGCCTCTTAGTGCACTATAAAAAGCTAAAAATTTTTTAGTATCATAAATTCAATAATAAAATGTAAAAATAAAATACGTAGTTTGATAGAAATCATTAAGATACAATTTTTTTTTAAAAAAGAAAGTTAATAAATTGGGTGTATACACCATAAAAAATAGCAATTATTTAAATAACAACCTTATTCCATATATTAAATATATAGTTAATTATTTATAGAAAGATAACTGGGAACATTAATTATCAGTAATTTGTAATGGTGGAACAGCTTCATTATCCCCAGAAGTTTCACTTCCAGGAATTCCAACAATTTTTTTCAACGCAGCCGCCAATTTAAAATTAAATACATCTGAATCATATTCAAAACCGAATGTTGTTGATGTAGGGCTTCCAGTACCAGCAGCTCGAAGTTTCTGTGAACTAATTCTTTGTCTAGCTTGATCCATATATTTATATAAGCATTGTATTGCATTTAATACACCATCTTCTTTTCTTATCTTTTCTCCTACTAATGAAGATTTTTTAATCATAAGTTCATCCGTTGTGGCTCTGACAAGGCAGTCAGAGAGTTTTTCTACAGTTAATTTTCTTATATGAAATCCAATCCCCATACTCTCCATACGATCACCCCAAAAGAATTGGTCCCCAAAAAATGGTTTAATGATAGTGGGTATTCCAGCTCGTAAACCTGCCGCAGTAGTGCCTGCACCACCATGATGTACAACGGCATCGATTCGTTCAAATAACCAATCATGTGGAACGGATTTCAACGGATAAATGCACGGAGGGTATTCCTCTTTCTCATTACTATCAGATTTTCCTTGCTGTAACCTATCACTCCAACCTTTTGATAAAATGCAAGCAACACCACTCTTTACTACAGCTTCCACAATTGTCTTTGTTAAGGCTTTTGGATCATCCACAACAATTGATCCGAATCCAATGTACACAATTTTTGTATTATTTTTACGGTTATCATCCAAAAAATCGATTAAGCTTTGAGGTGCTTCCCAACCAACTTCTGGATTATCCAAAAACCAATATCCAGTAATACATATCCAATCACTCCAGTCGTACGGTCGAGGAACAATACTTGAACTAAAATTATATAAAAATGGTACAGTGCCAGCATCCATTTTTTCCATATTAGTGGCACGTAACTTTAATGTATTTTTCCTCCATCGATTGACTTGTGGAGAAATTCCACGCCAAAATGCATTTTCTATAAGAACGTATGATGAGTAATTATATGGAGCTTTAAGATCATGATACGGTACAGCAAATGCATGAGGATATGCTCTTGTTCTCGTCCATGGCATGGTAAATGCTCGAAAATATGGAATCTCTAATAGATATGCTTATTGTAAATAAATAATTCAAAATTGAACTAAAATTCTAAAGAAAAATATTAAACAAATACCAAGAGCTTCTGCAATATGAATTCCTGCCATAGCACTTGGTGATTCTATAATCAAATCAGTATTCTATAAATTGAAGTAACATGTCAGTACTATATAGTCAGTTGATATCAGAGTTATTAAATGTCCTGAAATAATTTAATGGCTTAAACAAATAATGGTTAGTCATAGACATTTCAATTTTGAAATGACTAAATAAACAGGTCATTATTTGAATCATTTAATTTTTGCCCAAAAAATAATCAGGTCATTATCAACTTTGTTTAACATCAATGAAATATTAAATAATCATTACCTGACACGCTTCCCATGAAGTTTTCAGCAGGTCATCTAACCAGCCACGGAACTAAATAAAAATCATTATAATGATAAACTTAACATATTAACATACTTTTTAATATACAAAATCATTTTAAATGATATTTCTATTTATTTAAAACTTACATTAGTAACACCTTCTCTAAAGAATCCTATAGTGAACATGCCATTTTCAACACAAATCCGCTACAAAAAGATGATCAAATAATTAACTATGATTATTATGATGTTCATATTATAATAAATTAATAAATGAAATAAATATCTTTTTTATAAAATAATTACCATTAATTCTGCAGGATTTCCACCTACATAACCAAATTCGATGCCATGACTTTCAATCCAATCTTTATATTCACCGTGAGTGGCAATTCGGACTTTATGTCCTTCTTTCATCAATCCTTTAGCAAGTGCAATATATGGCTGTGGATATTTAATAGTAAGAAAAATGAGACCATGAACAAATATAATAAACACCTAAAAAGTTATATTATAGACTATACCTGTACATCACCTCGAGACCCAATAGTCAGACATGTAATATGCATGGATTTTTCGAGTTTAGGTACACTTATTGCGACTCCAGTATCGCCATAATTCGACACTATTGGTGAACTAGGAGCATAACTTTCAGACATTTTTTTCCATAACAATTGGTCTTTAATAAAAGCATTTTGAACGATTCTATAAAAAATATTTTGAAATGATATTAATAAACATTATAATAAACATTATAATAAACATTATTAAATTCACCATATGAATTAATGATAATAAATAAAAATAAACAAATTACGTAAAGCTTTCATCAGTGTTTCCAGAACCAGAACTATCCAACGATGTATGTTTTTTATCAGTATCCATTAAACGATCTAACAGTTCTACAAATTGATCCCTTATATCCTTAAATCCAAATTCAAAAAACATTTCCTGTTGAGAACTAGTCAAAATTTCCAACCCATAATACCCTAAAATTGTTGGATGTTGCTTCTTATAATAATAAACAGCTGATATTGGTAGTTTTATCTATTAAAAAAAGAATAGATATTGTCAATATTATAATCACAATATAATGAAACATAAATCTAACTATAAAAATATGTATATACATTTGTTGTTTGACCAGGTACTCTAGACTTATAACAGACATAATTGTCAGATACATAAAACTTGCCATATAATGGAATCATACGAAGATAATATCCATAGAACACTATAAAGTAATTGTTTATTATCATTAATAGACAAAGAATAATGTCAAAATAAATAAATAAATAAATAAGTAAATTCCATACCAGCATGTAATTCTTCACTTTCAGGTAAAGCAAAGTATTCTCTGAAACGTTCTTTTGTTTCTTCCTGCGGATTTTCATTAAAAGAACTGCTCATATACTTTATTGGATTTTGAATTAATACATTAACTCTGCGTGAAAGCATTCTTTTTACACTGGATGATTGAACATCTTGTTCAGTCACCGAATCTAAAGTTGAACTTGTAGATTGTATTGACTTAGGAATAGATTTCGTTGTAATCGCCGAAGTCGAAGATGTTTCATCAGCACTTTTGCTTCTTTTATGAATGGAAAACGGTTTCCATCCAGAGAAAACATTTAGAGAAATGCCAGCAATTGTAAATTCAGGAGTAATAGATCGTCTAGTGGTTCGAGTACGAGTTGTATTTTGATCCTTATATTGACTCCAAAGTTCATTAAGCTTTTCAAATAATATTTCACTATCCGAAACAAACGCGAAAAGATACTATGGAATATCAAATTATAGATTAGTAATAGTAATAAAAAGAGAAATTTTGAAAGATAAATATAAATAATTACTTCATCGAAACTCTCATCTTGATCGATAGTCTTTATTTGAATTGCATCTTGAAAACTCGAAGTTAATTGATTGTCAATTTCTGTGATACTTTCAATTGGAATTACGATCTTTTTTGTATCAAGATTTGACCCAATTTTATTATTAAGATTTGACACGAAAAAAGATAATTTTAAGTATCATTGAAAACAATAGACTAAAAATAGGGTATAAAGACTTTATTTCACTAACCTTTACGTGGTCACCATCGTTATTGGCGCGAACCATTGACCTTTGCAATTGTGTTACCCATTCTTCCATAGACGCGATAGTATCAGCTTGAAAATGATACGTGCGTTTCGGAGTCACAATCTTGAACTTATTCTTATTGGGATCTTTTTTATCTGCTTCGACTTTAATAGCATACTTTAGATCGATAATTTCTAATGGACAATATTGATCCTAAAAGATAAAACAAAACATAATTCGATAATATGTTTATAAAAAAATATATATATATCCAAATAAAGCATTAACTTACCAATTGATCATAATAATACACGAGGACGTCATTTTGAAGAGAAAAAAAGTATCTTTCATATAATGCATAAGAAGATCGCTTGGAAAGAAAACCATCTTTCAAAACAACACCCTGTATGACGAGAAAACCAAATTTTTACCAAAAATGGTATGTACGTATTACTTAGTATACCAAGTCAAAATTTCTAGAAAATACAAATATAAATACCTGTTCTCTAGGAAAGTAAGCGTGAAAGCATAGATGGTCTTCTGTTAGATACAAAACACCTTGTAACATAATTGAACGGATCAAAGCACAACGAAATTCTAACGAAATAAATAAAAAAATTAGAAATTATTACTAACAAAAATTGTTATTTAATAAGTACCTCCGAAAAACTCTTCCAGTTTATTTAATTTAAAAATTTCTTTTAATTTTTGCGGAATACTTTTTTCCTTTAACATATCAACTTGAGGAACAAATTCTTCACCACTACGTTTTTCTTGCTCTTGAAATAAACTTGCAATGTATATGGCGTCCAGAGAAGACACAATTTGTGATTTGTTTTCTTTTGAAGAATCAGAATCGGAGTCTAATATTTGAAGTTAAATAAAATATTAAAAAATAAAACTAAGAGAATTCGACACGAACACGAATAAGAAAGATTAATGAACCAGTTTCACTATGGTTTGGACTGTCGGGTGATTGTTTCATAGGCTCAAATCTCTGCACCAAAGAGAACGTGTAAATATGAGAATGCAAGATCGCGTTTACCTTTTTAAATAAGTTCAAGAGTACTCACAGAACCCATAGTAGCGTTTACCGCAGCAACTAAATTACTATTAAACATGGCTCGATTTTCAAAATTGTTTTTTAGGTTTTATATAAATATATATATATATACTATATTTTGTTTATTGACTTTAACGTAATTATATGCTATAAGTAAAAGAAATTTGAAAAAAGGGGAAATTGAAAAAAGAAGACTAACTATATATTATATATTAACGTTACAATTATTACACCTGTCAAAGAAAAAACGTACATACATACATCTGATTTCTGATATCAATATCGGGTATACATACGTAAGAATGTCAGAAGCATATGATCAGACGATTGGCACTTGATTTAAATTATGCTATTGTTTGATAACGTTAATCCTGTAAAATCGGTATAAAAATATTCCTTTCCCACAATTGAATAAAAAAAAAAAAAAAAAAAACCTTTGCGACTTTTTTAAAAAAAATATATATATATATATTTATTCAAAAAAAATCAAATAGATTATTAAAGAAAAAAATTAAAATGGAACAAACACCTTCTCAGGACAACGGTTTACACACACCGTCACACGATATTGAATCAACTTCAACTTTTGGCCACCCACTTTCTTCTAACTGGGATATCGCACTCGTAAAAGAAGTAGGAAATTCAAAAGTGTGGCGACTTCGTCAAAACTATGACCGTAATGATTATAAACGTGAAATGTATCGTCGCGCATATTCCGAACCTATTCTAACTACAGATACAGGCAGTAATTCACCTGCAGAAACTTTATCCCCAACAACGCCAACTACACCACTTATTAATAAGAGACACGAATGTCGAGGTTTTGATGACCCATCAAACGGTTTTTCAAGTCCACAACTTCATCCTAATTTGAATAACAATATTAATGATGAGAATAATAATTTTGAATTGTGTTCAGATGTTAGTAGAGACATTACTAATAAATTCTTGTTTAAAGAATGGGGTAAAGAAGTTTGTAATCGAAGAAAATTATCTTAAATTTTTTTGGTAAAATGTAAACCTGTTGTTGGTGTAGTATATACTTGAAGAACAATTCGATCGTCTACCATTTCGGGTCCGATTGATTGTTTCTCTATTCGGATAACAAACTTTATATATACATAAATTTTGTGCAGTGTAATAGTTTAAAATTAAGCTTAATGCAATTGATAAACTACTGTATTATCATTATTGCTATCGTTATTAAAAAAAAAAAAAAAATTTTTTATTTTTGAATCAATTCGCCAGAGTAAAATACGGTGCAAAATTATAGTTTTACATTAATTGGCCTACCGAGCTAAAATTTTACTTTTTTTTTTTTTTTAGGTGAATAAATTAACCTAAACTAAAGTTTACAATATATTGATTATAACAGTATCGCAATTGTCGTCTAGTCAAATAATATTTGGATATAATTGAGGGAACGAAGTGAAAGCTTTCAAGTCTCTACTCTCGTCTCTCGTTCTCACAATGAAATTTCCAAAATGGGTTTGTTTCTGGTCCAATAGATCTTGATTAGATTTGGCACTAGATAGATCTAATTAGGATCCGAAGTTTAAGTTTATGCGTGATAGTTACGTAACAGGTAATTTTTTGCCTAGAAATGTACTACGTATGCATGTATTGCTGTATTTCGTCGCGAGATGACATCATATCTATTAATGATCAATGACGTAGATATTTTTTAAAGACAAATAGCCAATATTAACGTTAATATCATTTTTACGTTAAATTATTAATAAGCAATAATACGTAGAACGTAATATTTTATTAATTATATATGAAGCTGCCAGGCTGGAAATTTTATCATCATGATAGATTTTCCATAAATGATTGGCAGCACTCATATAAGTTATATTAATTTACTAATATATAATCTTGAATGATTATTATTAATTATGAAGTAATAAATGGTTTTTTTTCACTATAAAATGAATTTTTTATAGCATGACTCATACTGATATGGCACGGTGTAATTTCGCGTGAGATATGATGTATACGAGGTGAATTTACGTAACAATGTTGGTTAAAATCACTTAATTTAATGCATTTATAAAAAATTGCCGAAAGTTTTTTATAGAGTAATTTTCTGTTTCTAATATAGATGTACCTCGCGCGAGATACATAGGTCTCTCATGTATATTTAATATATTACGATTTTTGGAATTATATTAAATTGATTATCTGCTATTACATAATTCCAAATTTGCGAAATGGAACAACGTAATTATTCTGTAATCTCTAGTTTCTATCGTATATTATTAAAAATATAAGTTAAATTTATTTTTGTTCTTGGCTTCAATATTTTATTTATTATAAAATATTTAGTTTTAGTAAAAATGATGTTTAAATACCAATTATTGATACTGTAATACTTATAATAACGTTACCTAAGTTCTATAGGCGCCGATAATATATGTTTATGGACAAATTGCTTTGCCGCGTATGCGCCCTTAAAATAAATTTAATTTTTAGATTTTGACGAAAATAAACCAGAAATGAAAATTTATTACCTGATCATGGTATATTGCTCCAACAAGTGCCTGAAGTGCTCTACCAGTAACACTTTCTTCTCCTGAACCTTGTAAATTTTGTCCATTTTTTTCTGCTTCAATTATTCGTGATTCATTAATCTATTAAATAAATAAAAATAAATAAATAAATAAATATATATATATATATATATATATAAACATCAACATGAATGTAATGTATATTAAATGTATATTAAATAGATATAGAAATGTACCGGTGTCCAATGTAACAATTTGTTTAACCCCATTTTAACACCAATTTTACCAATATTTAAGGATCTTTTTGTGTATAAATAAACATGATCATGCAATTCTGAAGGCTTCACTTGATTAAATAGGTATTCGGTTGCGTAAAGTGATATGACTTTTTGCCCTATATTTTAAGAATTAATTATTAAAAAAAAAAGAAAATTTGGAATAATTATTTAAAAAATATCATGTTACCCAAAAAATCCAACCGCTCATTTGTAGGCGCTGTATTAGACCTAACTGACTTATGTGTACAAACTTGATGTATTAAATTTTTATCTGAAAACGTTATCCCGAGTTTTTCGCAGAATTCCACGTGTTTATCGATGCTATTCTGCTTTTTGAATTTTAATTTTATCGTTGTGATTTGTGTGTCATGCTGGGATGGTTTACTGTGTATATGCGCTGTTGCTGTTTATGAATAATTTTACGTATGAAAAGATATAGATGTGTTTTGGGTACAAAATCCATTGAAAATAATTATAAAATTTATACCGATACAATTTGTGAATTTGGGCATTAAACGCCTCAGAAAGCGAGCTTTAATAAAATTGGAGAGCATGATAAATTTTTCTATTGATTAGATTAAAATTTTTAAAATTATCTGATAAGATCAGCTGACATCTTGCCGGTTCCCAACAGGAAATATCTCTTTAAATTGATAGGTTTTTTTATTATCGTTATAAGAGAATTGCATAATATTTTTGTAATAATATAAAATGGGAAATTCTATTTTCACCCGGGTTAAAGTCACCCGACATTTAATTTTTATTATATTATGTAATATAATATCATTAAAATTAATCTATACTAACAATTAACTAACCAATATATAGAATCTTTTGTTTTTATAGTAGCTTATATTATAGAAAAAAACTAAAAAGTGCACCCCTGTTTTTTAATAGTAAATAAGCAGATTAATAGTAGGGTTAGGGTTAGGGTTAGTGTTAGTGTTAGGGTTAGTGTTAGTGTTTGGGTTAGAGTTTGAGTTTGAGTAGGCTAAAATTGCGAGAGGAGCATTTTTACTTAGTTACATGACAGGGGTTATCCTAGTAAAATTTTGAGATACAGGGGGGTGCACTTTTTAACAAAATTCTATATTATATAGTGACGTATACAATTTGCCCAGTATTGGTGTTATCCGGCAATTTATGATCATGATTGGTAGGGAGTCGCTTGCTGAGTTTTATTTTTTGAATATTGGAATAACATAATTATATCGTAACACATGAAAAAAATAACAAGAAATTTTTTCATGATCATATGAGTTTGCCGGATAATATAAATTATTTGCTGCTTCACATTCAATAACTTATTAATATCGCTTTTTGGCCTTGCGTTATTTGATAATACAGTATAGAGTAATATGTAACAAATCTCGTTCATTAAATTTAGTTATTTCTGATTCAATTATTTTTTACACTTCGAAATCATCAATCTTCACTTGTTTGTTAAATTTAATTGAATTAGACTACGGACGCATACTAAGCAGTAAATTTTAATAAAAAACTATATAAACTTACCTGAATACTTGTTAATTAACTTCAAAAAATTGCAGGTGCATTTTGAGGAAGTCGACAGCCTTACTACACTTTTTAACATGATATATATACTAAATATCTAAAAATTAAAATTTAAAAGTCGATATTTATTTCTGACAAAAGTATAATACAGCATAACTTATATCAAAAAAATCCAATTAAAAATTACATTTGTTAAATCGCAAACAAAACTTCTTATACAATAAGGAAAGTGCATAACTACAGATTCAGTAGATTTTATTGGCAAAAAACTCTTTTAGGGTCAATAGAACAAACTTTCTGCCAAATAGCTTAGCCGAATGTGTCTTTGTACTAATGCCAAGACAGCCTTCTAAAAAGGGTTTGCTTCTTTTACAATAAAGATCGATGGATTCTTCTGACAAAATCAATAGATATTATTAGGTCAATAGAGTAAACTATCTCATCAATAATAACAAACCAAAGTCACCCTTAACCAAATTTCAGTTTAATTTTTTCCAGTGTGTGCCCTTGCGCTAACGCCAAGGCTGCCTCCTAAAAAAGGTCCAATTACTGTACTATATACTAAAAAATATTTCTTGCATCATTTATTTGTTCATTTTGATTAGTTCAACTAGCATTCTAGCATTAGGGTAAAGATACATATAGAAATATTGTAACTATATAATACTATATACTGTAGAAAAGAGAAACTACACATGTTAATCTTTTGCATATAAGAATTATTTTTCTGCATTGCATTTATTAGTTTAAACTAGTTTGTATTATCAAGTTTAGCACACACTTCATCTTTAGTTTCTAAAATTCCGACTCAAAGTGAGTAACGTTGCTATGTCATACACGTTGAATTACCTGATAGTCTGCCATATAATAAAATATTGAGATACCCCGATATCTTACTCTTAGGCAAGAGAGTTAAGAGTAACATATCAGGATATCCCAATATTTTGCTGTTATGTTATTTATCTCTTAATATCTTACTAATATGCAGCAGGTATTTGGTGGACCTATGGCAGAATTAGTGATGCAGATGTATTTAAAAAATTACAACCCAAAATATGCCACGGCATGTAATAATACCTGCCGTATTTTTGTGACGCATGTGGTATAATGCTGTAGATCGTAATATGTACTGAAGGTCGTAATATGTGTCGCAGGTCGTAATTAGCAATTAACCATAACAAATTTGGACCGGCAGATCCTCGATTTTGATTGGCTAAGAGCGATGATAAAAAGATTAGGCCAGAATTACTCATAATTTTATTAATGAAATCATAGCCGCCCAATAAATGAAAATTGTTCCTGGGCCAATTTTACCATAGTGCGGGCTTATTTTTTAAGAATTTCTATTTTTGTAATAAAA